TTAAGTATAGAGACTTCTATCTTCCCAAGATTATGTCCCCTAAGATAAGAAAATTAGCTATTCTTCAGTTCACAGGGTGTAATATAGGGTGTGTGTGTGTGAGAAATGCTGTCAACCCAGTTTTGAGGCCCTGGTCAGTTCCTTTTCTTAAGCAGCCAGTTACCTCCATACCTCAACCATCTCCCTGACTGGGCCCTCACGCTCTGGGCCACTACACACCCACTCTAACTGCCCTGGGTCAGGTGCCAGACAACAAGGGACAGTCTCTCTGTCCCAGAACTCAGTGAAATTATTCAAATTAGCTAGTAGTAAGCCATGTTCCTCCGCCTCCCACAGACACCACAAGAAAGGGGCATTCCCACAGTCACCCCCTCTCCCCCTTTGCCATGTGACTGACCCGGGCTTCACCTGAGTGGCCTTGCATGGAGTGCTGTTGCTCCCAAGGGAGCTGCAAGTATAACAAAACTGTAAAACTCTGGTTTCTCTCTCTTGATCTGCACCTTCACTTAAGGTAGCATGTTTACAACACAGGGTACGTGCGTTTGATTTTCTTTTTAATTTTTGATTTTTTTTTCCCACCCTGAAAAAAGGGGCTCAGGGAGGACCTTTCTTAACCAGTTCGAGGCTAATTTTAATGTCAACAGAGGGAAGTCCAGAAAGGCCTGAGGCAATACTCTGCCTTCCTACCCTGATGCCCAGAGTTTCCCTCGGGCCGCCCCGCCACAGATGGCAGCAGAGACAGTCCAGGGAGGGACCCAGTGTAACACCATTTTTTATTTGTTTATTTATTTTTAAGACAGGGTTGCCCAGGCTGGAGTGCAGTGGTGCGATCTCAGCTCACTGCAGCCTCCACCTCCTGAACTCAAGCGATTCTCCCACCTCAACCTCCCGAATAGCTGGGACTCCAGATGCATACCACTGTGCCCGGATAATTTTTGTATTTTTTTGTAGAGATGGGGTTTCACCATGTTGCCTAGGCTAGTCTTAAACTCCTGGGCTCAAGAGATCTGCCAGCCACAGCCTCCAGAAGTGTTAGGATTACAGACATGAGCCACCACACCCTGCTTGTGACACTGTTTCTTTGGAACTGTCTTTTGATTAATACAAAAAAAAAGCAGCCTGCAGGGTAGCAACATAAATTCTGACCGAAGAAAACTCCTTCATGAATAACTGCTTTACAGCAAGTCTTTTCTCTCCCCAACAAAACTTCTGAACCTTCTGTGCACTCCTAAACACTGAACTACCCCAAACTTGCAGCCTGACTGCCCCATCTTAGGAGTCCCAGCCCCCAGTCCACTATGCTGGACTGTCTCTACACTCGGAGGAACAGAGAAGCTGGACCCACATGCACATCTGGGCCAACAGCCCCCAGAATCGAAGTCCTCCTTGTGGCCTGTCTCCTCTGCCCCTCCCACCTCACTCTATCCCATTCTCCCCCCTTCTCTTCACCGCAGTAGCCTCTCATTTCCCATTTTTATTTATTTTTGTTTTGTTTTTTCTGCCCACTCAGGTAAAGGCTGCAGAAGGTTCCACCCTGGGGCATTCACCTAGGACAAATAAAGATTAAAGTATTTTTGTTGTTGAAACGGAATCTCACTCTGTCACCCAGGCTGGAGTGCAGTGACGTGATCTCGGCTCACTGCAACCTCCACCTCCTGGGTTCAAGGGACTCTCCTGCCTCAGTCCCCAGAGTAGCTAGGACTACAGGCGCCTGCCACCATGCCCGGCTAATTTTTGTATTTTTAGTAGAGATGGGGTTTCACCGTGTTGGCCAGGCTAGTCTCAAACTCCTGGCCTCAAGCGATCCTTTTGCCTCGGCCTCCCAAAGTGCTGGGATTACAGGTGTGAACCACTGCACCTGGCTGGTTAAAGTATTTTCTTTCTCCTAGTGGAGGGAGATGATTTCACACCTATGAGGGTGAGAGGATGGAAAGTTTCTGACACTTTCGTCTTTTCCCTGCTCTGAAGGAGAAGTGGGTACAGCTGTGCTGAGTTTGCTGCATTTGAGGGCTACTGTATACATTCCGATCAATACTCTGAGTAATTTCCTTCCCCTCTTCATGTTTCTGGCTGAACTATTTGTCAACTTTTCTTGTGGGAACCCCAGTGGTCTCTATTGGAAGATGCATATATCTGTATGTCTCTGCTATGGATTAATACTCATCTTGCTTCTCTGAGTCCAGTCCTGGGCTCCCAGCAACTATACATAGAGAGAGCCCTTCCCTCCAGCAGGCATCGTCTGCCCCAAGGACTGTTCCCAAAGCAAATCCCAGCCTGTGTTCTGTGCATTGTCCCTAACCCTCCCTGATCTGTGGATATGAGATTTGGGCTCATTCATAGGGCAAGATCTTAGAATAAAGTAATGATAAAAGCTAATATACTTCAACATAATGTTCAAAAGCCAAATGAAAAGCCTGGTGTAAAATATATGCTAAAGAAACATCTGGGCCTGGTGTGGTGGCTCACCCCTGTAATCCCAGCGTTTTGGGAAGCCTAGGCAAAAGGATCACTTGAGGCCAGGAGTTCGAGACCAGTCTGGCCAACATGGTGAAACCCCGTCTCTACTAAAAATACAAAAATTAGCCGGGTGTGGTGGCGCACACCTGTAATCCCAGCTACTTGGGAGGCTTAGGCAGGAGAATCGCTTGAACCCAGCAGGCAGAGTTTACGGTGAGCCAAGCGCCCTACTGCATTCCAGCCTAGATGACAGAGCAAGACTCTGCCTCAAAGAAGAAAAAGAAAGGAAACATCTGTTGCTTGAGCTCAATTTAAATACAACATTGTTCATACTTATTTTCTAACTTTTAAAATGTTTCTTTCTTTCAAACACAGGGTATGGGACTTTTCTCTGGTTACTGAGTTACCCATTTCCCTATTGGCTCTGGGTCACCAGGAAGGAAGAGGAGTTCCTTCTCCTTCGGTCACTGTGTTTTTTTGGTTTTTTGTTTGTTTTTTTCTCTTGTAGTCCACAGCTCATATCCTCCTCTGTTCCTCACTCATCCCTGCCCATGCAGGAAACCAGGGGTGAGTGTGGGAGGCACAGAGGAGGGTAAGCTTTACTTAAGGTTAAGAGGTAAGTTATTTGTGTGGACTGAATTCAGCTGGCTGTACTCACTAACAGTGTAACCTTGGGTAAATTAGTTTAACCTCTGTAAGCCTCAGTTGTCTTCAAATTGGGGCTAGTAGTATTACTGACACTTTCTTCTGTACTGGTAATTTCTTTTTTTTTTTTTTTTTTTTTTTTTGAATGGAGTTTTGCTCTTGTTACCCAGGCTGGAGTGCAGTGGCATGACCTCGGCTTACTGCAACCTCCACCTCCCGGGTTCAAGCTATTCTCCTGCCTCAGCCTCTGGAGTAGCTGGGATTACAGTTGCCAGTCACCACACCGAACTATTTTTTTTTTTTTTTTTTTTTTTTTTTTTTTTAGTAGAGATGGGGTTTCTTTTTTTGGAGACAGAGTCTTACTCTGTCGCCCAGACCGAAGTACAGTGGTGCTCGCTGCAACCTCCACCTCCCAGCTTCCAGCTATTCTGCCTCTGCCTCTCAGATAGCTGGGACTATAGGCATGTGCCACCATGTCCAACTAATTTTGTATCTTTAGTAGAGACGGGGTTTCGCCATGTTGGCCAGGCTGGTCTCAATCTCTTGACCTTGTGATCCACTGCCTTGGCCTCCCATAATTTTGGGATTACAGCTGTGAGTCACCATGCCCAGCCTGTACTAGTAATTTTTGTATTACAATAATAATACTGATATCATCTTTGTATTAATAATTTATGTGCCTTAATAATGTCTGTACTAATACAGATATAGTAAAATGTCTGTGGCACCAATAATTTAATTCTGCACAATTTCTGTTCTATACCAGAATGCTAATTTTTTTTGTAAAATGAGGCTAATATAGAGTTATTCTGAATATTAGATGAGAAAAAAAGCAGATAAAGCATTCAGAGTATAGCATATAGTATGTGGTTAATAAATGTTAGCTGCTATTATTATTAATGAGGACATATGTCTTCTAGTCATTCTGCCTGAGCCTTTGCACCTACAGAAACTTGTGAAGAAGATCAAAACTGGCTTGTTTTCAGGTCTGTCTTAGTACAGAAAAGACAGTCCCTGTGAGTGATCTGTGGGGAAAGGAGAACATCCCCTTTCCCTGGGGCCTCTTCAAGGAGTCTGCGCACTACCTCTCCAGCTTTGAAAAGAATTAGTTCCTGCCAAGAAGAGAAATGGGGATGAAGGGGTTGGGATGGAAAACACATGCTTATGAAGCAGGGGCTTTTGTTTTCTCTCTGGATAGAATAGGGATTTTTCTCAGAAGGACAGGGATGGTGATCAGAGAGGGGAAAAAGGGGACCAACTCTCTGGTTTGGGGTTGTAACTTCTGACTGTCCCAGGGAAAGGCATTTTCAGGCACAATGGAGAGTCCAGAGGCAGGAGGGTGAGAGCCCCAGTGTCACTGCATTGGACCCAGGGCTGGAGTAGAAACAAATACTCCAAACCTTGCATGGCTGTAAGTGGAATGAGTGGGCGTCTGGAGGAGGGAATAGGAAGGAGTATCATCTTCCTCACTTCCCCTTTCAGGGAGGAGCCACCCGACTGGATAGAGATGAGCCAAGTCACTTCAGGAAGGCCCTTTTGATGACGTTTTCGTTTTTAAAATTATATTTAATTTTATTTTCAAAGATAAGTACAGTAGCAAGAAGGAGGGAAAGAGTAGTACAAGGTGTTCTATCTGTAACTGTGAACAAACTGAGATCACTCACTGCCTTCAGACTAGCTGGATTATATTTTTAAATCAGATTTTTAGGCCTTCATTTTGTTCTTGTATTTTATTTTATTTTATTTATTTTTTTATGTTATGTTATGTTATGTTATGTTATGTTATGTTATGTTATTTTTTGCTTTTTTGAGATGGAGTTTTGCTCTTGTCGCCCAGGCTGGAGTACATTGACTCAATCTCGGCTCACTACAACCTCCACCTCCCAGGTTCAAGTGATTCTCCTGCCTCAGCCTCCTGAGTAGCTGGGATTACGGGCATGCGCCACCACGCCCAGGTAATTTTTTGTATTTTTAGTAGAGACGGAGTTTCGCCGTGTTAGCCAGGATGGTCTCGATCTCCTGACCTCGTGATCTGCCTGCCTTGGCCTCCCAAAGTGCTGGGATTACAGGTGTGAACCACTGTACTCTGCTAATTTTTGTATTTTTAATAGAGATGGGGTTTCACCTTGTTGGCCAGGCTGGTCTTGAACTCTTGACCTCAGGTGAACTCTTGACCTCCGCCTGTCTCAGCCTCCCAAAGTGCTGGGATTACAGGCGTGAGCCACTGTTTTGTTTATTTTAAATGGAGCCATCCTTGAAATGGAGTTTAAAAGTCCATGGGTTAAAACCAATTATTTCAAATATTTTAAGAAGTAAAACAAAAACAACAACAACAAAAAAACCATGTATGATTCTCCAACCCCATAATTACTTCCACCCTGATTTCCTGCTTTCAGCCTGATGGTGCCCAGTCTCTATCCTCAGAAGTCTGGAATGGTTACCAAACAAAAACATTTTGTTTTCTCTCCTTCCTCCCACCACCCAAGATGCCAAAAGGAAAGAAGGCCAAGGGGAAGAAGGTGACTCCAGCTGCTGCTGTTGTGAAGAAGCAGGAGGCCAGGAAAGTGGTGAATCCCATGTTGGAGAAAAGGCCTAACAATCTTGGCATTGGACAGCACATCCAGCCCAAAAGGGACCTCACTTGCTTTGTCAAATGGCCGCGCTTTATCAGGTTGCAGTGGCAAAGAGCCATCCTCTACACATGGCTGAAAGTGCCTCCTGCGATGAACCAGTTTCCCCAGACTTTGGACCCCCAAAGAGCCACTCAGCTATAATACATAAGCTGGCCCACCAGTACAGACCAAAGACAAAGCAAGAGAAGAAGCAGAGGCTGTTGGCCTGGGCTGAGGAGAAAGCTGACAGCGAAGGGGACATCCTCACTAAGAGACCACCTGTCCTTCGAGCAGGAGTTATCACCATCGCCACCTTGGTGGAGAACAAGAAGGCTCAGCTAGTGGTGACTGGACATCATGTGGATCCCATCGAGCTAGCTGTATGCTGCCTGCCCGCAGCCTCAACCTTCTCATCTGGAAAGTGGGTGGTGATAGTGCATGTCTCTGTGTTGTAAAATAAAGGTCCCTGACTGCATTATTGAGGGGAAGGTAAGACTGGGACGTCTAGTCCACAGGAAGACCTGCGCCACTGTCACCTTCACACAGGCTAACTCGGCTTAGCTGGTGGAAGCTATCAGAGCCAGTTAGAACGGCAGATACAATGAGCTCCATCATCACTTGGTAGACAGTGTCCTGGGTCCTAAGTCTGTGGCTCTCATTGCCAAGCTGGAAAAGGCAAAGGCTAAAGAACTTGCCACTAAACTGGGTTAAATGTTCTCTGCTGTTTTCTGTACATAAAAATAATTAAAATAATACAAATTCTCCTTCAAAAACAAAAATACTTTCCTTCCAGACATCTTGCAGGAGTGGAGTTACAATACCTTCCTTCTTGTGCTAATCCAGTGCACACCTCTGAACTGAATGTTGAGAACTGAGCTGAATAGTCTTCCCAAAACAAATGCAACTTGTAGTAAAAGATCATACAGGATGATTTTATTTATCTATAAACAGCAAATTTATAGAAACAGAAAGTAGATCAGTGATTGCCTGGAGCCGGGGGTAGGAGTGGGTATGAACCAAAAATGGACAGGAGGAAACATTTTGGGGTAGTAGAAATGTTCTAAAACTGACTTGTGGTAATGGTTGCACAACTCTGCAAACTTACTAAAGTCATCGAATTGTACACTTACAATGAGTGAATTTTATGATATGTAAATTTGCCTTAATAAAGCTGATGTTTTAAAGTTAGCATAGGTAACTGATTTAAATTTGTATGCCAAATAACACTGGTTAGTATCTACATTAGGACCCTGACTCTACTGCTCACAAACCATGTGAATTGAAATAAATTATTTCATATTCCCCAGCCTCAGTCTCCTCATCTGCAGAGTGGGTGATGATAGGCGTATCTCATAAAGCAGAGTGCCAGTTGAATGAGATAATGTATAGATTCTTAACACATTATATTTTTCCTTAGAAATGAGAATGCGAGCAGGTAGGGAGGTGGGAGTGTTGATTCTTTCTTGACTTGGGGGGGGAAGGTCATTCTGAATTTTTCAATGACAATGATCTAGAAGGAGCATGCTCTAGCACTTTCAGACTCTCAGACCCACCCGTTCCTCTGTGCCCAGTGGTTTCACATTTCCACTTCTGGGTCAAGTTGCAAGGATAAAAGGAATAGTATTTGTTATCAGGCAGAAGGAGTGAGTGGCAGACTGCAGGAGCTCCAGGCTCCTAAGTGACTGTTCCAGACTGGCTGCCCTAAGAGACGCTCTAAGGGAGACATAATGGGGCAAATGAATGTACAACATGGGTCCCTAATGCCCAGATAAGCCCAGAAAAGTCAAGGCTGGCTATTGGGAGCAAAATGAGATAAAAGAGGCAGTGTGGGAGAAACGGGGATGGGCCCAAGGCCAGTTGGGAGGGCTCGTTCTCTCCTTGTGTGTGGAGTGCAGCCACTAGCTCACACCTGCCCTTTTGTTAGCCCTGCCTGGCTTCATCATGCACTCCCTTGTTGAGAGAGACTGACTGAGTTTCAACCACCAGCCATGCCCTGGGAAACAACATCCCACCCAGTTCAGAGAGTCCATTGTGCAGAACACAGACACATTGCATGCTAATAAGTGTGACAGCTGGTAGCAAAGTGCTGAGATAGCACAGCACCAGGGCTTCATTATCCTAAAGGTGTATAAATACCCCACTTCCCTTGCACTTGGAGCAAGTTAACTCTGAGGTCTGGGTTTACACTGGCTCCTGGATTTTCCACAGTGGGATTAAGCTCTGTCACCCACAGTACCAATCTTTTTAGGATGCCTTCCCTTCACAATCTTACTTCCCCACTCAGAGGTCAGAGGAGCCTTCTCTGAGGAAGTGCTCTGCTGGAGACAGCTGGGAAACAGGAGGGACTTAGAAGGATGATGAAGGGGGCCGCAGGAACAGGGAGTTCAAGAGGAGATTTCTGGCCTGGGGAAAATATAGAGGTAGTCCCTGCAGGGGCACATGGAAGCTCTGCTGGAGCAAGAGGTCTGTGGTAGGTGCAGAGAAAGGCCACAGAGAAGAGAGCCATGGGTATGTCAAGGAAAGAGACTTTGCTGCATGACTTAGAGGCTTCCAGGAATGATTGTCTCCTTGTGAGGAGGCTGAGCCCAGGCCCTGCTAGAACAAGCACAGGAATGAGCCTCTCCTATTTAATCAGCCTGGGAGCTGATGTCCCTGGCCCCTTCTGAACTGGCCGACTCTTCTGAAGGGCTTGGGTGCACCTGGGCCCAGTGGTATTCCTTCTCTGAGACCTCTGGCTTATAGACACGGGTCATTTACTTTGCCAAAGTCATGTGTGGCTCACTCCTCCCTGTCTTCACCTTCAGAGAAACATTGGTCTTTATTTCTCCCGGGCCCCCGCCCCGCTCGGCAGGAACAAACCGCCAGACTGGCTGGGTGACAGCGCAGGGCAGGTTTCTCCTGCTTCCCATCCAGTGGGGTGGTTGGACGTCTTCTCAGAAAATCCCCAAGCTCCCCATCCAGTGGGGTGGTTGGACGTCTTCTCAGAAAATCAAAGGACTGTCTCTGGTCCGTCCCGCACCACAGTTGTGGAAGTCGGTCCGTCCTATGGACACTTCTGCATCCATGGGCCCCTCTATCTCACTGTCTTATCATCGACTTTGCCTGGCATCGGTGTCACCGCCAGCTCTCTTTAATCTCACAGTTGGCATTCGTACGGCTTTTTCCAACCAGTTACTTTCAACCTACTTGTGTCTTATATTCAGTGTTTCTATTCTAGTCATCATGTTTCAAGAGCTTACTATCTATCCTGATAATCTCTGCCTTTGGATTGGAGCTTTTAGCTTGTTAAAATTAACTGGAATTTTGATTTGGTTGGATTTAGTCTACATTTTACTCTTTGTTTTCTGTTTTTACCACTTTTAAGTGATTGTTTTGCTCTTTGAATTCTTCCATTTCTCCTTTACTTTCTTTGGATTATTTTAACATTTTTAAAATTTTCGTTTTAATGTATCTATTAGTTTTTTTGTTTGTTTCTTTGAGATGGAGTCTTGCTCTGTCACCCAGGGCTGGAGTGCAGTGGTGCGATCTCGGCTCACTGCAACCTCTTGCCCCCAGGTTCACGCCTACTCCTCCTGCCTCAGCCTCCCTAGTAGCTGGGAGTACAGTCACCCGCCTCACCACGCCAGCTAATTGTTGCATTTTTAGTAGAGACGAGGTTTCACCATGTTAGCCAAGATGGTCTCAATCTCCTGACCTCGTGATCCACCCACCTTGGCCTCCCAAAGTGTTGGGGTTACAGGCGTGAGCCACCGCGTCCAGCCTAGTTTTTACCCAGTTTCCTATGGTTGCTCTAAGGGATTAAAATCCACAACCTCCCACATCCTATGTAGAGTAAAATTGTACTCTTCATATAACACGTTTATAGAAACTTGCAGCTGCAGAGTGACTGTTTCCTCTGCCTCCCAGCTTTCCTCCCACAGATGGTGGGCACAGCACCATCCCCACATACTCCTGCACAAGGCGGTGCCTGTTCTGTCTTGAAACAGTCATTGAAAGAGGGAGGAAGTCAAGAAGGGGGAGCAGCTTTTCTATTTATCCCTCACGCTTTCTGGTGACTTCCTTCTTTCCGGACAGTCCAAGTTCTACAGCCCAGGGTTCTCTGCTGTTCTGATGTGAAGTCCACAGCATGGACCCCCAGCCCAAGGCTCCACCGCGCAGGTCTGGTTAGGCTTTCACAGGAGTGTGTGCCTGGGGGAGTGTCCACTACCCCTCCACCATGAATAATTTCAGCTAACATTTCCTGAAATACACGTCCATACATGGCAAGTGCTCTTAGTTTTATTTTTATCAGAAAGTGTCTTTATTTCATCTTTATTTCTGAAGGAAATCTTCTTGGGATATAGAGTCTGGGAAGCACAGGTTTCCTAGGGGGGTCCCCGAGAACTACCAGACCCAGGGCCACCCCTCCCACCCCTGCACCTTGGAGCCCACTGAACGCGTGGGGCAGGGGTCCGTGGCCGACCTGGGTGTTCCCAGCAGCCGGGGAGACAGCATCCATGGGGGATGGTCTCTGAGCCGGCCCCTAGGTCACCCATGCTCCATAGGACTGGCGGCCAGGGGGTCTCATGGGTCAGGCCAGGGGCTGGAGGTGGTGAGCAAATGCACCTGGTCTGGGACACACAGCATCATGCATGGACCCCTGGGTGCCCTCAGCACGATTGCCAGGCCCTGCAGAGGGGAAGGTCAGCCCCTGCCCTGGGCTTGGGCCGCGCCTGTCAGGATGAGACTGCCCCTCCAAGGCAGGGTTCCTGGGTCTGACAGGGAGCAGAGACTTCCGCCTTCCCAACTTCTTCCCCTGAGGCTAAGCGGGGCTTTAAAACTGTTTAAAACGGGGCACCACGGGTCACTGGCCACGCGCACTACCCGTGGGGAGGGGCCATGACCTGGAGGCTCAGTGGGACACGCAGCTCCCTGTGTCCCCACGCCGCCCCGGGGAGCGGTCCCGCCTGCAGCCAGGGGCTCCCTGCAGCTGCAGAGAAATCAGCAGCTAATAGAGCTCTCCCGGGGCCCACCTGTTCCGAGACATGGCCAGGGCCCTCTCCAGGCGCAGAGGCCCGCGGGAGGCCAGGCGAGGCCGGCACAGGCTGCTCAGTCAGCGGTCGGGGGTCGGGGGTCTTGGTCCCCTCCTGCTCCGCCCGCGCCCGCCGCTCTCCCTTGTCCCGCGGAGTGGGGGAGGGACAGCGCTGTCCCCGGAGGATGCAGGCAGCGACTGCAAGGGGGTCAGCGCCTTCCTCTCCGGCAGGTTTTACCTCGTCAGTGGAGGGGTCCCCTTTATCATCTGTGGGGTCACGGCTGCCACGAACATCAGGAATTACGGGACAGAGGACGAGGACGCGGCGTAGTGAGTACCGGGCGCCCAGAGCTGGGAGTTGGGAGCAGCGGGTGGGCTCTGCCCGAAGTCCCTCCCGGGCACCTGCAGTGGGGGAGACCAGGACGAAGCAGCAAGGCCTGGGCCTGGACCTGGGGCTCGCCCAGAGCTGCGCCCATCCCAGCTCGCGCCCCCGAGGAGTGCGCAGTGCCCCCTCCTCTCCCAGGGACCCCAACCTAATCTTTGCCTCTGGATGAGTCAGGCCTGGTTAGCCTTCTATGGGAGGGGCCTGGGGACAAATAGCGATTTGGCAGCAGCACGGAGCTCAGCTGAGAAGGGAAACCCCATAGAGTAGAACCAACCCAGCCGTCCCGCCATCGGTGCCCAGAGCCAGCCTGGAACCCCTGATTCAGGCCCTCAGTTCCTTCTGTGGCCCCAGGATGGCCCGCCCGCCTGCCCTCCGCCTGGCCCCACCCACCCGGCTCCACCTCCACCTGACCCCGCCCACCTCACGCCGGCCACGCCCACCCGGCTCCACCCCCTCGCCTGGCCCCACCCATCCGGCGCCGCCCTCTGCTCAGCCCCGCCCACCTAGCGCTGCCTCTTCCTGGCCCCACCCACCCCACACCGGCCCCACCCACCCGGCTCTGTCCTCCCTGCTCCTGCCCACCCAGGCCCACCGTGCACCTGGCCCCCCGCCCGGCTCCACCTCCGCCCACACCTGGGACACTTTCCTGGCTCCCCGACCTCCCAAGCTGGTAGGGCCAATAGGGCCCCGTTCCCATCCACACTCTCAGCGACTCTAGAAGCGCCCAAGGCCCCCAAGCCGCAGTTGTGCAAAGCCACTTGCTGGTCCAGGCGGGTGCGGGGCCCTTTGCTCTGCAGGAGTCCTGAGTCCTGAGTCCTGAGTCCTGAGTCCTGAGTCCTGAGTCCTGGCCGTGCTGGCCCAGCTGACGCTGACGTGCGTCTCCCCACAGCTGCTGGATGGCCTGGGAGCCTAGCCTGGGCGCCTTCTACGGCCCGGCCGCCGTCATTGCCCTGGTCACCTGCGTGTACTTCCTGGGCACCTACGTGCAGCTGCGGCGCCACCCAGGGCGCAGGTACAAGATGCGTGCACAGCCCGAGGAGCAGCGGCGGCTGGCCACGCCCGAGGGCAGCCGTGGGATCCCGCCCGGCACCCCACCCGCACGTGATGCCCCTGGCGCCTCGGTGCTGCAGAACGAGCACTCGTTCCAGGCACAGCTGCGCGCTGCCGCCTTCACGCTGTTCCTGTTCACGGCCACGTGGGCCTTTGGGGCGCTGGCGGTGTCCCAGGGCCACTTCCTGGACATGGTCTTCAGCTGCCTGTACGGCGCCTTCTGCGTGACACTGGGGCTCTTCGTGCTCATCCACCACTGCGCCAAGCGCGAGGACGTGTGGCAGTGCTAGTGGGCATGCTGCCCACCCTGCAGGGATGCCCACTCCGCGCTCGATGCCAACGGGGCCGCGCTGGGCCGTGCCGCCTGCCTGCATTCGCCGGGCCTCGGCCAGCAACGGGGCTTCGCGCACCCACCGGGACCCTGCAAGATGACCAACCTGCAGGCCGCACAGGGCCACGCCAGTTGTCTGTCCCCGGCCACCCCGTGCTGCGCCAAGATGCACGGCGAGCCACTGATGGCAGACGAGGCACACGTGCACGCGCAGGAGGAGGGTGCCTTCGGGCACGACCCCCACCTGCACGGATGCCTTCAGGGCAGAACTAAGCCGCCCTACTTTAGCCGGCACCCAGCAGAGGAGCCCGAGTACGCTTACCACATCCCGTCCAGCCTGTACGGCAGCCCCCGAAGCTCGCGCACAGACAGCCCCGCCAGCTCTCTGGATGGCCCAGCAGGGGCACACACGCTGGCCTGCTGCGCCCAGGGTGACCCCTTCCCCATGGTCAGCCAGCCTGAGGGCAGCGATGGGAGCCCTGCCCTCTACAGCTGCCCCACGCGGCCGGGCAGGGAGGCAGCACTTGGGCCTGGTCACCTGGAGATGCTGCGGAGGACACAGTCCCTGCCCTTTGGTGGCCCCAGCCAGAACGGGCTGCCCAAGGGTAACTTGCTAGAAGACCTGCCGTTTGGCACCGATGGGACTGGCAACATCCGAACAGGACCCTGGAAAAATGAAACTACTGTGTAGGCGGAGCAGGGGACACAGTGTTCCTGGAGGAGCTTCAGAGCAGAGCGGGGGGCCCATCTGCCACATGAGGTCACTGGGGGCACCAAAGTGACCCCACCTTTCGGAAGCAGTTCACACCCCTGCCCCTTCCTTGTGAAAGACCTCAGCGGGGAAAAGCTCTGGGCCACGCCCACTCCTTTTATCCCAGTTCCATGTGCTGGTCCCTGCACAAGGTCATCTGGTTTCTGTCCTGTGGCCTCCAGTCCTGGGGCGCCCCAGAGGCAGAGCAGGGGATTCCATCAAAGGACCCACCCAGACCCCAGCGTGGCCCTGCCCGAGATGCTGTCCATGGAGTCCTGGCTTCCCCTGGTGTGGCCAGGCGGGGCCAAGAACGCAGCAGGGGGCTGCCCTGACCTTTCCCAGTGTTCAATGTGTGTGTCTTGCATTCTACTCCGGGGTGGTGGTGGTGGCAGGTCTGTCCCCAGCATTCTCACCCTGGGCAGAATCCTTGGGACCCACTGCTGTCATGTGTCTGAGCCACCCCTGCAGCTTCATGGGACCCCTGCACACCTCTGCCCACTCAGTGTCCCCTGTCAACCCTGTCCTTGTCATAGCCCCAGCCCTGCAGGGCTGAGAGCACCACGGATGCTGCGGGCTGCAGCCGTCTGTCAACCCTGTCCTTGTCATAGCCCCAGCGCCCTGCAGGGGCTGAGAGAGCACCAGGATGGCTGGGTGCTGCAGCCAGCCTGACTTTGGGGATGGCTGTCGGGCCTCAGAGGGCCAATGGTGCTCTAGGCCCCAAGCCTGGAAGATGCCCAGACATCCGCTATAGTGAAGATTCAACTTCCAAACCAGCCACCGTTGGGACTGATCTCCTCCAGCATAGGCACTTGGGCAGCCGTTGGGCTTATTCCAAAAGGAAGAGGGGTGACGGGACATTCTCATGGACAAATTCCTTCCTTTTTCATCTCCATGAAACATCTGGGCAACGTTTCCTGACCCAAAGGACAGATGTGGATGACAACAGTTTCTGTGGTGCCAAGTGGCCTGTCCCTTGTGGAAGGGAGTCCAGAGGCTGTGGGTGTGAAACGGGAAACATATCCCTTCTCCTCTCTCTCTCCTCCTTTATTCCGTGAGCATGTGCTCCACCCACACACGCACACAACATATGTATATCACACACGATATATACACAAACGTGGTAAGCACGCCACATACACATGCATACAAAACATATGTATATCACACATACACACACAAACATATGCATATCACACATGTACACATACAAACACGTGCATATCACATATACACGTGTGCACACAAACATTAATGCATATCACATGTGCATACATTAATGCACGAAACGTATGTCACATACACACAAACGTGTATATTGCACATGCACATACATAAGCATGTGTATGTCAGCACATACATAAGTACATGTGCACAGATAGTTAATAATACACACGTGACCTGCCATGCACATGTATACGTATGTGTGTTTGAATGCCACACTGGGAAGCCGCCATTGAGAGTGTTTGCACTGCAACGCAAGGCCAGCAGACTCCAGGCTGTAATTTGCCATCCGGCCGGGAGGTCCTGGCCCAGGCGCAGAGCCCCTAACGGGCACCTCCCATGGGAGGGCCTTCCCGGGAGGTCTCCTGCGCCTGCCTGGTGGAAGGGCCTTCTGAGGCTGGGTACTCTAGTATGTGAGTATGAGGAGCCCCACTCCTGGGGTGTTGGTAAACTTGGACTGACGCTGTAACCTACGGTGTGCCTCCCAGCAAACCCCGTGGCTTACAGGTCAACCAGACGGCCACCGGATGACTGCCAGGCAGCTCTGGGCTTCTGCCTCACCTTTTCCACCCGCTTCCCGTAGCTGGTGTGTGAACCCGAATCCCCATGCTGTGCTGTGTGTTCACAATTGTAGGTGCAGAACCGTCCAAGCACAAAAATACAGTCTTGCATCGTTGGTCTTTGTGAGGGGCTGTTAATAGCATCCTGTGTTTTTCACCCTAGATGGGCAGGACACCTGAGCGTGTGGCCCCCTCTGTGTCCTGGATCTCGGGGCGAGGCTGCTCTGCCTGCCCCTCCAGCCCTCATGAACTTTCTGCCTCAGTGCTTCTAAGCTGAGCAGAGAGGCCTCCCACCATTCAACCAAAGAAAGTCAACATTAAACATTAAACCTCTGTGTGTTTCTATACTGACTTAGCCTCGTGAGTCCACTTGGGACCAGTGTTGGGCCATATCCATTTGCACGTAACGTTTTGGAGCATAACAATCAGCCTGACCACACCCAGCGGCTCCTGGCTCAAAGTCAGCTTCCACCAGACCACGGAGCCACAGAGCCAAACCTCGCGCCGAGATCTGACTTTTGCAGCCACTTGAGGCCTAAAAGGATGGGATGGGATGGGTGCATGCGCGACCTGTGTGGGTATGCCTATGTGTGGCGCGGCTGGGATGTAATGAAGGTGTGGGGTGCGCGCTGGCCCAAAGGGGTGTGTGTGCTCGTGGAAGTGTGTGTCAGATGTAATGAAGTGTGGGTGCGCGCTACCTGTGCGGTGTGTGCCTGTGTGCCTGTAACTGCGCCTTGGATGGGATGGAGCGTGGGTGCAGCCACATACAGCTTCCAAAGGCGAGTGCCTGTGTGTTTGTGAGTGGCATGTGGGGCTGGGGGAAAGACGTGGGGAGAGGTGCCTGTGTGTGGTGTGCAGGTCCCTCTGGTGGAGTTGTGGTGCACACATGCACGTGTGTTTGAGGGTAAGTGCATGTGCATGCTCTTCAGAGGAACATCGTGAGGCGGCCCTCTCCGCCTCTGGCTGGTGTGTCACCTACCACACAGCAACACCGTGATGACTTTAGTCAGCTTAAAGGACTAGGAAGCAGAGGCCGCCTGTGCCTCCAGACCCCACACACAGCCTTCTCTGGAGCGGTCTCAGCTGAGGAGGCTTCCAGTCCTGGGAGACACAGGCGTATGCTGCGTCTCTCGTGAAGGCCCCCGACACAGGCCTGCACTGGGCAGCTCTGTCTCTGAATGAGCCACCCCCAGGGCTTCTGGCAGCATGAGCCTACAGGGTCTGGGGAAGGGTCTGTCACAGGCTCCACCCTGCCTGACCAGGACTGATGCAGCTGCAGGAAGCCTGTGTGTGGGGACCCTGAAGGAGTTTGGGGCTCCTGCCCGATGTGGTGAGGCACCCCACATGCAGAGACCGGCTGCAACAGGCACTTCCGCACCTACCCAGTGCCCATGATGTTGGACCAGTCCCACACGGCTCCCCTGACCTCTAGTGCTTGCATTTCAGGGCACAACTGTGCATAGGCCTGAGCTAAACAGAGGTGTGGTTCACTGCGTAGGACCGCATGCTCCTGCACTCTGTGACCCCACTTCAGTGGTCCCCGTGGACCCTGCTCCCCCGTGTCCCATGTGGACCCTGCTCCCCCGTGTCCCCCGTGGACCCTGCTCCCGTGGTGCCAGGTGGAGACGCTCCCGTGTCCCCGGGTTGGACCCCACCCCCTGTGTCCTACCGACCCGTGGACCCTGCTCCTCCATGTCTCACCTCGCCACACTTCCCTCTCCACTGCCAGGGTTTGCACCGAGCCTGAGGTTTGTTACAGGTTTGGCCACCGCACAGGCAGCTTGGGTGGAAACTTGCCTGCTGTACTCAAGGCCAAAGACTGTTCTGTGGCCTTGAGGCGGGTGGTGGGGGTACCTTGGGCAGGTGGAGGCCGGCTCCTGTCTGCAGGGGCATGCAGCGAGAGGGAGGCAGACAGAGGAGGTGGGGAGAGAACAGGTTGAGGCACCTCCCGTGAGGACAGACAGGTAAAGTGCTGAGGCCAGGTCAGTGGTGGGGGCAGGGGGCCTGGTGGGCATCCGGGAAGGCTACTGGGGACAGGGAGAAGCCAATTTGGAGAACCTGGGGCCAAGTCTGAGCAGGCATCCGAGTACTGTCGCTCAGGCAGGCGTGAGCAGGAGGGGTTAGGAGGCCTACACGTGAGAGGCCTGTCCTTGCCATGTTAGAAGACCAGTGTCTCCAGTGAGACAGGTCAGGCTACAGGGCTCAGCGGCCAGACAAGCCCCTCACTGCAGGCCGGCTCCTCTGGGCCCAGAGGGAGGGCTGCTAGGTGAGCTGGGGCCCAGCAGGGCAGCTCCCACCACCCAGTGCTGGCTGTCCAGGCCTCTGGGGCTGTAGGGAAGGAGCCTGAGCACAGACATACCCACAGACGGTCCTGCATGGACCCAGGACCCCGGACCCAGACTGCATTCCCCTGCCACAGATCTGCAGACGGCTGAATTCCAGAGGAAGCAGCGCAGCTCAGGCCCAAGTGGGGCGCGGACTCAGACTCACACTTCATCCTGTGTCCCAGGAAATGACCAGGCTGCCAGGGCCTACTTCCTTTCCACTCCTGTCCCAGGATGTGGGTACTGGGAAAACCAGTGTTAAGAGGACCTCTTAAACTCACTCTAATTACTTTCTACATAAATACCAAATAACTTCCCTTGTAATCAACACAGGACTTCCTATACTTGCCAACTCCAACCACACTCCAGCATAGCGCTTCAGGAGGCCTGCAGAAGCAGCAGCAGAGGCACCCAGAGCTCACGACCCTGCCAGCCTCCCAGCCCTTCCAGACGTGGGCTACCGAACAAGCCAAGCCACAAGGGATGCAGGGCTGACCAGCCAGGACATAGGGCGGGTGAGTAACGCTACAGCCCTGATTCAGATTTCTCCAAGTCCAGGTCCTAGATGGGTGAATACTCCCTGGTGAGGGACAGTCCAAGTAGTACTGGGTGGCCTTGTCCTGGGTTCGGAGAGTACCCTTGGTCTAGGTCCAGGACTGCACTCTGGTGAGGGAAGTCTGCTAGTACTGTGTCCCTGTCCTGGTTCGGAGATAACGGTCTAGGTCCCATGGACTGAGGCAGGCACTCCTGGTGAGGGACAGTCTGGGTTAGTACTTGTGTCTCTGTCCTGGTCTTCGGAGAGTACCCTGGTCTAGGTCCTATGGACCGAGACCCTGCAGAGGTGGATTGCCTGCGCAGTCCTCCTGTGTCTGTCCTGTGGGTTCGGAGAGCATCGTGGTCCACGCCCTGGCGGGGAGTGAGGACCTCTCGGCACGCGGTGCCTCCCTGTTAGGTTGATGCTCAGCTGATCTGCAGTGAGCTGTGCTGCTGGGTGAAATACTGAGGCGACAGGGAGTCAGGCTGCTGCAAGATGAGGACACATTTTCTGGGCTACTGTTGTTACCTGATGGGCTGAACTTCACACCGTAGCCCAGGTGGTGGAGGTGGTGGTGCTGCATGCACCACCCGAAGCTGCCCCGCGTGTCCTGTGTTTGGGAGGCTGAGTTCTCGTGGTCTGAGTCGTCTGAATTGAGTACTAGGTTCTGTGTCAGGCTGTGTATCTGTGGTCTGTGTCTCTGGCAAACACTGTTTAAAAATGAGTTCTGGGGTCTGTGCCACCAAGAGCATGCAGGGACGCTGGCATGGGCTCAGCTGGGGTAAAGACTCCTGTCTCCACTGCAGCACCTGTGGCTTCAGCCTCGGTGGGTGGGGCTGATGGCCTGCAGATGAGCAGCGTTAAAGGAAAAATGATTCAATGACGCTTGCTAAAACACAGCAGACTTCATTCAGGGCCATTGGGCCTCTGGGTGTGATAG